GCTTTTCAACCACGACCTGCTCCTCCTATGCCTTTCTGCCCGCTTGCTGCCTGCCCTTATCCTCTCCCCCCCCAGCTGGCCAGGAGGGCGGCCCAGTAATCGTGCAGCCGACAGCAGCACAGACAGCAGTGAAGGGGGTGGCAGCAGTAGCAAGCAACGGCCGTGTCACGCTGACAGCCTCACAGCCCAACACGTGGGGTGCAGCGTTCCTCCAATTGCCCATCCCGCTCTTCTCTTTCGCCCTCAAGGCCGGTGCCTGTGGTCGCCCCTTGGCCTTCACCGTCTATTTCTCCTTCTCCATTCTCAAACCAGCCAAACCCCGCAAGGCAGCAGCAGCAACGGCAGCCACAGCAGCAGGTGATGCAGGAGACGGGTTTGCGTTTGTGATTGCCGCCAGTGACGCTGCGACGGGCGGTAGCAGCGGCAGCAGCGACGGCAGTGGTGGTGGTGGCAGCTTGGGGTATGCAGGCATGGATGAGCACAGCATAGCCGTGGAGTTTGACACAGCCAGGAACACCGATGCCAACGACCCGGCCAAGAGCCACATGGGAGTGAGTGTGAAGGGCAACACCTCTTCCATCGCAATAGCCAAAGCGCCCTTCACTCTCAACGACGGCAAGCCGAAGCAAGCCTGGATCGTCTTTGACCCCTCTCCTTCTTCCACTAGCTCCAGCACTGGTGCCGGAGCCGGCTATGGCAGCAGCAGCAGCAGTAGTGATGGCACGGGCTTGCTGCGGGTGTTTCTGTCGGCCAAAGGGTCCCCCCGGCCAGGCAAGGCAGTGGTGGCGATGCAGGTGTCGCTGTGCGAGTTCCTGCAGCCCAGTGCAGAGGAGGTGTCGTTCCTCATGGGCTTCACTGCTTCCTCCTCTGACTCCCCGCAGCAGCACTCTATCCTCGAGTGGAACATCACCACAGGAACTTGCTGCTGCTTCCCCTGCCCACTGCTGTCTCATCCTCTTTCCGTGTTGTTTCGTACTATTTAGTGTATGTTCTCTCGTTGGTGCCTAATGATTTTGTGAGGATAAAGGATGGAGTATAGGAAGTTTAGGGGTTGAAGTAACTCAAAATCGTCGGATTATAATTCTGGCCAGAAATGTCGAGTTCACAAGAAACTTCAACAACGACAATTGCACCATTGAAACTTTACCAATTTCATATATGTTGGAGCCCTAAACCGTGGCTACCATTCTCAATCTGAATCGTATTAAAAAGGTCAAGTAAATTTTGAGATATTAATTTCGGCGCATTGGGGGGCTGAAATGTTGTAGTTGAAACATAACTCAATCCCAATGGTTCAACCAAGAACCACACGAGAATTATAATAGCTAGAAACCAGGTAACACATGATGGCGATGACGAAAAGAAAGGTCCCAGAGGTCCCCAACCAAAAAAATCCATAAGCACACAATAATCGCTTCCTATAGTAACTTACTTTGACCTTTGTCACTATCCGAATTCATGCTATCCACATTATCCCAACTTGGCCACACTTGCCAACCTGGTTTGGCTTCTCTCAATCACTTCGCAACAACTACAGTGATGGTAATAAAATTTTCCAACCCCTAATGGTCTATACCGCATATAGATCAGCCCCACAACTTCCTACAGGTGCCGCAATGAATCAAAAGCATACGAACTTCAACCGTGCGTATCTTTCTTGTCTCTGCTCCGATCACGACTGTTCTTGGTTCGCCAGAAATCTCCTGAGTAATCAACTCATTTCAGATATCTGTTCAGACAATAAAATTCATATACACTCACGACATCCTCCAAACCATGTCAAACATAAATTCTTACGAACGTGCACATCACGCATGCAAGACGGAAAGATACGATGAGAGGCAAGCAAACGTGAATGCATATGGTAGCATCACTCAACATATTCATCCATGCTTGGGTCTCTCAACGAGAATGACTCACTCAACCATGCCGTGTCCGAGTTCAATGTGTTACGTCCTCGATGCTTCTTACAGTTCCTTCCCTTGTTTCTCCCTATCTCCGTTTCTCACTCTTTTTTTCAGGTTTTCAGGAATCAACCACTCTTACAGGTACAACTAACTAACTTAAGTTTGCTACTATCCACATCCACAACCTTCCATTTCTGTCACTTGGTTCTCGTCCTTCGTGCCTCTCCGGTCATCCATTTCTTCCCCAAGTCCTCTCTCGCCAATCCGTCACCAATTCCACCCTCCTTCAGCTTTTCCTCCCTTCTACCCACTGCACACACTGCGCCCCTCAAGTCGTGAGCTTCCTTCCCACTTTCCCCGTGCATGTTGTATCATTTCCCCCACCCCACCGTACCCTTCCATATCTTACTCTACTCTACCCCACCGTCTTCTCCCTTCTCCGCCTCCCCCACCAGGCCAGCAATTTGGGCTGCAGATGAGTGAGGCATCGCTGGCACCGGTGGGGGCGAACCTCTTTTTCCGCTACGCCAGTGTGGGCGTGCAGGCAGTGCAGCCCGCAGGCGGAGGAGGGGGAGGGGGTGGAGGGGGGGGCAAGGAGGAGGAGGTGTGGGTTGTGAGCCAGGCGTTCTCCTGGGCCGACCAGGGGTTGCCGTGGCCCGTCCAGAACCAGGGCGCCTGCGGTGAGGGGAGAGGAGGGGGGGAAGGGCAGGGGAGAGGAGGGGAGGGGGAGGCAAAGGGAGGAGGGGATGAGAGAGGGGAGGGTAGTTGAGTGGAGGGTAGGGGAGTGGAGGGGAGGGGAGGGGAGGAGAGGAGAGGGGAGGGGAAGGAGGGGGGGGGGAGAAGAGGGAAGGGGATGGGAGGGTATTGGAGGACTGGGGATTGGAAGGGGGAGGAAGGGAGGTCAGGGAAGGGGAAGCGAGGGGATGGGACAGGATGCATCGTAATTGGATGGGATGGGATGGGATGGGATGGGATGGGATGGGATGGGATGGGATGGGATGGGATGGGATGGGATGGGATGGGATGGGATGGGATGGGATTGGGATGGGATGGGATGGGATGGGATGGGATGGGATGGGATGGGATGGGATGGGATGGGATGGGATGGGATGGGATGGGATGGGATGGGATGGGATGAGATGGGATGTATGGGATGAAACGTGATAAGTATGTGATGTATGGCAAGAAGGTGTGAGAGGTGATGAGGTTGCTGGCAATGTTCGAAGGCTTGTGGTGGGAAAAGAACTGTGTGGCTTGTCCACTCCTGCCCTTCCCGTTACCCCCTCTCCTTTCCCCCCTTCGTCACCCTCTTCCCTCCTGCCCAACCACCCTTTCCCATCCCAGCTAACAACGGGAAGCCCACTCTAACCTCTTACCTCTTCAACCTCCCCACTCTTTCAACTCTCCGCCTCCCCTCTCTCAGGCGACTGCTGGGCGTACGCGGTGGTGGGCAGCGTGGAAATGGCCTACAGCATTCTCTTCAACCTCTCCGCCGTGCCGCTCCTCTCCGTCTCCCAACTGCGCGACGCCCTCGGCGCCTCATGCTCGCAGGGCAACTCGCCCTCCCAGGCCTTCCAGTACCTCGTCACTCTCAACGCCAGGAGCAAAGCAGGGCTCGCGGAGGCTGGAGCGGTGGTGAGAGGGAGCGGGGGCAAGAAGAGAGGCAGCCAGAGCCCGCTGTGTGGCATGCCCGTCTTTGCTCTGCTCGTGCAAGCGCTTGGAATCCCCTGCGGCAGAGGCCGGGCCCCCGGAACGGTATGCTGGTTTTCTTGCCTTGTTGTTTTCCTTCGTTTGCAGGTAGGCGGCTTGATGCGGGTTTTCTCTCGCAGAGGCCAGACCCCCGGATCTGCAATGAATTCTTCCAACTTTATGCAAGTGCGGTCGGATTTACCTGGTTGGGAAGTCTACAGGAACGGCCACAACAAGAACATTGGTACAACTGGTGGTCACGTCTAGTCAATGCCAGGTGTTTCATCAGGTGTTAAGATATTTGCCTGATTGCGTGCCTCGTGGATCCCCCATCAGTGATCGAGTGTCATGATTCATCTTTTAGCGCCTCGAATCCCCCGTTGGTTGCCATCTCCATTGTCAGAAACCCATCTGTCTACCACAGCCTCTCCAAGCACATTGGTTGACATCCATCCGCCACTGTTTCCTTCATTTGTGGCCCGCTTGAGGCCTTTTTGAGGGCGTTTCAAAGCATGCACCACGCACATTTACTTCCACCACTACTTTGGTTTGCAAGTTCAAGGCAAGCTCCGGGTGCACACGGCTATGCGCAGCATGGTCACCACAAGACAGAGCACATTCCGTTGCAGTAATCCCCTTGCCATGATGGCTTTCTCCCTTATTCCACCTCCCACATACCCTCTCTTCTAACCGTCCTACCTTCCACCTCCTCCCAAATGCACCCCTCCCAACCCCTGCCACTCCCCCCCAACCCCTCCTCCCCTGCCCACACGGCAGAGCAAGCCATCAGGAGGGCCGTTCAGAGTGGGCGGGTTTGAGCGCACGGCATTCCACGGCTGGTTTGGGCTGCTGCTGGCCGTGCAGCGACAGCCCGTGGTGGTGCATGTGCAGGCCACCGCCCCCTCCTTCCTCAACTATGATGGGGTGAGTGCACTCGCACACACATACGCACACGCATGCACGCACGCACGCACGAACGCACACGTGCGCACACACACACACACACACACACACACACACACAAGCACAAACACATGCACATACACACACATACACACACACACACACACACACACACACACACGCACACACACACACACATACACACACACACAACCCATGCACACACACACACTCATACACATGCGCACATTCACACTCACAAGCATGCACACACACACACACAAGCATGCACACACACGCATGCGCACACACGCACACACACAAACACACACAAACACACACACAGTCACACACGCACACACACACGCACGCGCACACACACACACGCACTCGCGCACGCACACACATATGCACACACACGCACACACAGCGCATACACTCTCACCCCTTGTGCTTCTTCTGCAACGTCAACCATGTGGCCCCTCATTTCATTCCATACCCATGCACCCACATCCCACGTCCCCCCTCACGTCCCCTCTCCCCCAGCTATCCAAGTACGCGGACCCCTCGTGCTTCACGTACAACCTGAACCACGTGGTGCTGCTGGTGGGCTATCGCCTCACCGGCTCAGACCCGACCTTCCCGCACATGGCGCCGCCCTTCTGGATCATCCGCAACTCATGGGGCCCGGAGTGGGGCGACGGCGGGCACATGCGGATGGACATCCAGGGGGGCGACGGCGTGTGTGGGATCAACACGCTGCCTGGGATCTACTCGGTGGTGCGCGCTGCCAAGGACCCCTGCAGCGTCAACGGCACCAGCAGTGGGGTGTTTGGGCCGCTCTTCAACCCCTGTGGCAACTTCACGTGCACGCCCACGCCTGATGGGGCCAGCAACCACTGCGACTGCAACGACCCGCGATTCGTTGAGGCGCTTCAACCGGACAACTCGCGCACCTGTGCTTACAGTGAGCTCTCCCCTGTGCTTACAGTGAGCTCTCCCCTGTGCTTACAGTGAGCTCTCCCCTGTGCTTACAGTGAGCTCTCCCCTGTGCTTACAGTGAGCTCTCCCCTGTGCTTACAGTGAGCTCTCCCCTGTGCTTACAGTCAGCGCTCTCTCATGCCCTTCCTCGTGTGATCCTGTCGTGTCTCACAGCAAATGCAAGTTGTGACCTTTGCCACTGAGATGAAGATGATCGAGTTTCCCTTGGCTGTGTCTTTCATCTCTTGCAATGATCTCCAGAGGACGCATGCAGAGCAGCATTGCACAATCCGTGTGCGGTGGGCACGTGTGTGAATGATGGCAAGGGGTCGTACTCGTGTGTGTGCCCTCCGGGATTCAGGCAGGGCACCACTGTTGAAGGCACCTTCTCCTGTGCTCCAGGTAACCTTCTCCTGTGCCCCATGTAACCTTCATCTCTTGCGCTCCAGATGCCTCTCATTCTGAGCTCTGCTTGTTCTCAATCGTTTTCATGCAATGCTGCTACGAAGCGTACTGATAGATAACGCACCACCACACATTGACATGCTGGCTCTACATTCAACCCGTCATCATTACCATCACTCCCCATTCACCTGCATATCCTCGCACGACCAAGCCAAGAACCACACCTATTCCCTTCAGCCGCTCCTTCCGCACCACTGCACCTGTACCTCACATCCATCTGCACCACTCTGCACCGCACTGCACAGGCGACTCCAGCAGCACATACACGGTGGTGTCGTGGGGTGTCACGTGTGCCGACATCCACCCCGTCTACGGCCTCACTCTCGCCCAGCTCCAACAACAGAACCCCGTGAGCTCACCTGCAAGCCCACAACCCCATGAGCATCGTCTAGACCCTTGCTTTCCTTCTTCTTGAGCCTCTTCTTGTTGAAGGTGGTTAGCTAACCACGACCTAGCACAACCTGGAGCGACCTACTTCGACCTAAGAACGATCTACCTTGACGAGATGAGACTAAGGGAAGTCGAGGACCTAAGAAGAAGATAAGCTACTTGTGTTGGGGCGGTGGAAGGAGAAACACGGCAGGGACTAGACCTGCGATGGGAAATGAAGAGAAGAGGAGGAAGCGTGCAGAAGTGGAGAAGAACACGGTGGAAATGTCGAGATTTCAAGCGACGGGAAGAGAAGTCACGCCGGGTCAAAGGCGCGTCCAAGGAAGTCTGAAATTCGAACTCGAGGCGCGTTCAATGCATGGTTGGATTTGGAAATTGAGCCGAGTACAACTCAGCTCGATATTAGGCGCGGCGCGAGGGCGAAATCAGAAATCCTTTTGCTTATAACTTGCTTTGTGTTTTCTGTTTCTGTATGCCTTCTTCAATAAAATCACTTCAACTTTCTGCCTTGGCGTTTTCTAGCAAAAACCTTCACACAGTTGAGGCCAGAGCTTCATATGCTTGTTGCTAAGACTCTAAACCGTCTTCATAGTCTAGACTAAAGGCTGCACACATTCAAGAGCTGGTATCAGAGCTGGTTTAAGGCGCGTTCTAGCGTTTTAAGGATAGGCGAAATTTTCTAAGTATGACGGGCGATCATACAGAGGCGAGTTCGGGCTCCTCTGTGAGCATTGGAGGCTCAGAACTACAGGCCATCCTAGCGGCGCTAGCACAAGCTAAATTGACGGCGAAGCCAACGATTGGGCTTAGCGAGGCCCAACGGTTCCATGGAGAAAATTATAGCACGTGGCGACTCAAGTTCATTCGTAGAGCGGAGGAAGTGGATCTCTGGCCGTACTATCATCCCGACAAGGAGACGGGAGAGGGCGTCCCACCATCTGCAAAAGAAAAACCAGAAAAAAATGTGTCGTTCAAAAAAAGGTGTAAGCAAGCCTTTTTTCAATTGTGTCATTCAGTTTCGGACAGCATTGCAGTGGGGCTGGATCAATTTGCGGGAGAGGAGAACTCTGCCGAACGAGCTTGGGAGTACATGGAAGCGGCTTACCTTGGGCTTACGGATACGAACAAAGCAGCCATTCGGAAGAAACTCCTTCTATTGAGTATGGAGCCAGGGGAGAGGGTCATTGACTACATGAATCGAGCAAAGGGGTACAATGACGACCTCAAGGCTATGGGGGCAGCTGAAACTGAAGGAGAAATGATGGGGTACATCATTACTGGGCTGCCCAAGGAGTGGGAAGCAGAGATAGGGCTCCTAACCTGCAACCCACCCTCGAATATGACCAAGCTGTTAGAGACGCTCCAAGCTCTGGAGCGGGTGAAAGCTGATCGGCTCAGGAAGGAGATTAGCTTGAACGGAATGGGACCAGCCACCCATGCTATGGTAAACGCAGCAGCGACAGGGAAAGGATACGGAGGTTTCGGGGCGTTTTCAGTGTGGGAAGAAGGGTCATAAGCAGATAGACTGCTATGACAACCCGAGGAGCAGAAATTTCAAGGGAAAGTGGAGCGGTCAGCAGCAAAGGGGCCTGTAAAATGGAGGGCAGCAGAGAGAGGGAGAGGGAGTTTCGAGGCGATAACAAGGTGCAGAGAGGCGGATTTTCAGGGGCATGTCACTATTGCCAGAAAATTGGGCATAGGGCAGCCAACTGCTACTCGAACCCCAACAGCAGGAACTACCGAGGGGCAAACCAGCAGCAAAACCAACCAGCAGCAGCAAAAGCAAATGCAGTGGAAGCTGAAAACAGTGAAGCGGACGTTATTTTGGGAGGAGCTCACAAGGCAAACGTGGCTAGGGCATCGGGAGTGTGTTTGATGGCAAAGGGGTTTGGTGAAGCTGCGTGGTTCATGGATAGTGGCTGCACGCAGCATATGACCAATCACCGTGAATGGCTTACAAATCTGAGGGACTCCAACGTACCCTATGTGCTGTTGGGTGACGAAGGAAAGCTAAGTGTGAAGGGAGAAGGAGAGTTGCTGCTCCAGGGAGAGTACGGGGAGCTGAAGCTGGAAGATGTGCTCTTAGTGGAGAAGCTCTCACTGAATCTGATCAGCCAGTCACAACTTGACAGCACGGGGTGCAAAACCTTCAGCGACAAGGGGAAGCTGTGGGTCTTTGATGAGGATTGGAAGGTGGTTGCAGAAGGGAACAGAAATCAGGGATTGTATAAGATGAAGCTGAGGAAGAAGGGGCTCGAGGCAGAGAATGCCACCTACATGACTCCACTCGAAGGGGACCTAGCTAGGGAGGAGTTGAAGGCTCGGCTTGGTGGCTTACCTGTGAAGGAGCTGCAGCAGGAAGCTTCAGCCATGGTGGTTGGGGTGGAGAAGGTTGAGTTGGAGACCTTGCACAGGCGCATGGGGCATGCAAGCATGGATAGGATCAAGGAGTTGGTCAAGGAGTGGCTTTGAAGGAGGGGGCTGGAAGCAAGGGAAAATGCAGCAAGTGTGTTGAAGGTAAAATTATAAAATCCCCACACCCCCACCACCAGGTGCAGGAGCCTTATGGCACCTTGGACATCGTAGCAGCCGATGTGTGTGGGCCTATGAGGGTGGCATCACGACACGGCAGCCGCTACTTCGTTACCTTCACTGATTTGGGGACAAGACACACATGGGTGACGGAGCTGAAAGATAAGGCAGAGGTGTTTCCTAGTTTCGTGACTTGGATGGCGGAAGCAGAGCGGCAAAGTGGGAAGGTGCTGAAAGTTTTGAGGACAGATAATGGTGGGGAGTTTACCGGGGACCTGTTCAACAAGTTTCTACAGAGCAAGGGCATCCGACGGCAGCTGACTGTACCCTACACTCCACAGCATAACAGCATAGCGGACCGGGTGAACCGGTCTCTTCTAGACAGTGTGAGGAGCCTGCTGGCCGACAGTGGGCTGTCACTGAACTTTTGGGGTGATGCTTTGGCAATCGCTTGCTGGTCCAAGAACCGCCTACCTACCAAGGGACTTCGGGCAGATATGACCCCCCACGAGGCATTCTATGGGAGGAAGCCGAATCTGGGGCTTGCACGGGTGTGGGGGAGTATGGTACAATACAGGGAGCCTGCTGGTCCGGATCATAAGTTGCTGCCCAAGGCTCATTGGGGGATCAATCTTGGTACCTGCCCAGTGAGCAAGGGGTGGGTGATCAAGGATGCGGTTTCAGGGAAGGTCACAATCACCCGGGATGTTGCCTTCTACGAGGAGGTGAACTACCTGCAGTGGAAGGGAGTAGAGAAAAGGATTGCAGCAACAGGGACAGCAACTGCACCGGACAAAGTGGAAGAACTTTGGGAAGAAAAGGAGAGTGAGGGAGTTGGTGATGAAGGAGATGAGGAGATCGAAGATGTGGAACGGGCAGATTCAGTTGATTGGGTGTGGGAGAAGGCACCAACCAGGGAAGCGGATGAAAGTCAATGGGTGGAGATAGCAGGGGAGCAGCCAATCAAAGAAGTAGCTGAGGATAGCATTGATGAAGTGGCTAGAGAAGAGAGAGATGAAGAATCAGCAGCTGAAGGAAATAGTGATCCCTGGAAGATTCTAAAGAGTGGTGACAGCCGGGCAGCAGAGAAGGAGATAGAGGACTTACTTGAGGAGGGCGCCATCGTGATTGGAAGGGAAGTAAAGGATGGAGAAGGGAATGCATTGGCGGATTCCAGTGAGGAAGAGGTCGAATCATCTGCAGAGGAGTTGGGGAAAGGAAAGAGGGTGAAGAAACCAAACCCTCGGTATGCGCAACTGCTGATGACGTGCTGGAAGGACATCCATACCCATCTCCTACTCTCTGCCACAGCAACTGACCTAGTCTCCAATGAAGGGAAAGTGAGTCACAACCTGCCCAAAGAACCAGTGAGCATTGAGGAGGCGCTAGAGGGTCCAGAAAGGGAGCAGTGGAAAGCGGCAATTGAGGAGGAGTTGAACACATTGGCTGAAAGGGGCACATGGGAACTCGTGCCTATGCCGGAAGGGAGGAAAGCCGTGGGGGTGAAGTGGATTTTTAAAATCAAGACCGGAGATATGGGGCAGCTGGAAAGGTTCAAAGCAAGGCTTGTAGCCAAGGGCTACACTCAGGTGGAGGGGAAAGATTACCAACAAAATGAGATCTACGCTCCAGTGAGCAAGTTGGCAACG